AGTCCGCAGATTCATCAGAACAGGAGAGATGAAGAACTAAGATGTTATGTACTTGAATTCTGAGACTCTGTAGTTTCCGAAAATATAAGTTTCAATTTCCAAAATTGTTGTCTTAATTTTTTTTATCAACTTTTGAAATCGGTGCAATTTAATCTGTGTCATGCTTTAGTAGGACGTTGGCAAAAATGCATTGATAAGCAGGGGGATTATATCGAAAAATGACGAAATCATCACCTTCAAACAGATATAATAAAAGGCTATTTTAAGCAATGTCCTGTTTTCAGTTGACTGACCCTCGTATATACCGTGCGCGGTATGATGAAAAAACTGTATACCTCAACGCCCTATATTATAGGGTGATTCGAAAAGTGAATTCCCTGTCGTTTTGTTTTCCATGGGAGAAATGTAGCTTCGCAGTGCAATAAAAAATTATGCTAGTTTAAAAATTGAGCACTTAAGCAAAATAAAAATTAATAATAGCAATAAGCAAAATAAAAATTAGGCAATTAACACTGGAAGGCTTCGAGATGTTGGAATGAATGTAATTACCCTTATCAATCCTTCTTGCACAATTTACAGGGGAAAATAATGCTCAGTCGTAATCGTGGCATCTACAACAAACGGGGACCGAGATATTGGGTGACATGCACTGGATCCGTTTAAGCTAGACTAATTTAAGCTAGACTAATTTAATTAATGCCAAATTTAAGGGGAACGAATTCGTTCATCTGTGAGCCTTTATTCTAAGCGATTTTGAAACTTGGTGATTCCCGAATAATTTTTCCAATTTTAAATTGGACAGTTGATTATTACTTACGGAGTTTACCGATCACGTGGAATTGCTGGAAATTTCTGGCCATTATTTTTCTCAGTGGCATTTTTAAGCCCTCGAATCTCGCCCCTCATTTGTCGCAGAGACCTACGATTTTGGCTCTGAGCTATTCTCATCACAATCCAATATGCCAAAGTTCGTTGAATTCCGAGATGGTCGAACACCGACCACTGACACTTGCGGTGATCCACCTGTAAATTGCGCAACAGGGCATTTTGTGGCTCAGACAAATGACAAATGCCTAACTCATTCCAACATTTCGCTGCATTCCCGTTTCAATTGTTTACCTAACTTATTTTTGGTCATATATCTTTCTTTCTCCCATAGAAAATGATAGTGCGTTTAATTTGAAACGCAATATAGGAAGAAGCGTTGCGTGGAATTGCGCAGGAGGAAAGCAAGGCAGTGGCACCGGTCGATAAGATTGATAACTAGAAGACATCCTTGAGCGACACCGCGGTTTTCAATGAGGAAATGCGATTCGATGGACTGGACGCAGACGGACTGAATGAGGAGGAGGAAACCTGAATGACACCTTCGATTCACGCCCAACTGGTGGAGGTCGCTCTCTCTCTCTCTCGACTCACGAAGCTATGGGTCCAAGTTGACGTGTCTTGAACTCGTTTGATCGTCTCAAGAATTCCCTTCGGTTGGTGCAGGACTCGATGATTTTTTTTCTCGCCTTGGAATGCAATTAGAATAATAAACTGCAGCGAGACCATTTTGTATTCTTGGAATATACTTTTTTTTTAAATATGTTAATCAGTAGGGTGCCGCGATTCCCTCGTTGGACCCCCATGCAGTTATACGGAGTTGACGTGATTTCGCACTACCGCAGACTTAGACACGTCACGACGCAATTACCTTCCGTTAATGAGAGAGTTCTGCTTCGGGAAAGTATAATGACGCCGCAAAATGGGTGAAATGGGGAAAATGGCATGGTCAGCATTTCAATAAAAACCGGACTCGAGAATACGAAACCCGTTTACATATGCTGCATACAACCAGTCACTTCAAGAAGCGTGGCAAATAAAGCTGTGCAGTGCTCCGAAATACCGAGGTGGCGAGGATCCGGGACCGCCGTTCGAGGTTTTTCCTAGTACCGCAATGCCCTAATAGCGCTAGTAGAGAGAGCATTCAACATAATAATGCCGTCAAATATTGATGAGGGAGATGTCCCGCAGCGATCGCTACTCTTTGAACGCTATTTGCGGCTGAGAGTTGTAAAATTGAACATGATGCTGCATCATTGAATCATGCAAACAAAAGCGATCGATTTGAGGCTGAATCACTTCAACGGATTAACGGACTCCCAGGCGGTCAGGTACTTTCCATCTTCCCCAGAACTATTGATGGCAAAACGTAGAAATTACGTCAGCGTCAGATCCTCATATTTCCACGTCACCAAAGGAAGGAAACCATATGGAAGGTGGGACGCCAACCTATAGAAGTGGATCATGCACACGTGTACCGTTGCTGGAGAGAGACATGATCGGGCCGGATATGGATACGTTTCACGATGGGACCGCGACCGTGCCATGCCGTACGAGAGGCTCTGGTCCGGGTCCGACAAGTATGGCGTTTGGTTACCTCTTAGACTTCTATGCTAGTGATGTTTCTACAGTGTTGCATTGGAATTCTATATTTTCGTCGTAAAGGCCGAAGTTCTAGTTTAGCTAAGAAAAAAAGCTGTAGAAATTCAAGTTTGAACTTTAATAAAATTAGTCAAATCTGAAATCACTTGAGTTATACAAATTTCTGGTCTAAACAAATCGAAAACCGTTCCTGGAGAAAGTCACAGGTGGTAGCGTTGGCAGCCTCGCCCTCCTTTACCCCCCCCCCTCTCGGGTGACAACGTGTCGTCCGCGTCTACATTGGAATTTGGTGCATCAACTAGGCCCGGGGCCGAGCCTCACCCGTACTTCATCAGACTTCGGCAATCGTCAAATCCTTCCCAGTTCTCCTGTAGGGGTAATTGACAAGCAGCAGGGATTGGAAGAAGCCATGGCACCGAAGCAGCGGATGAGGCTGGCTAACGAAAAGGCCAGCAAGAACGTCACTATGAGAGGAAACGTCCCGAAAACACTGGTGCGTCTCACTTCAGGATTCTAAGGCATAAGAAGGTCAAGCCGAACCTCGCTTTACGCAAGAAGTTAATTTTAGTTTGTGCTAGGTGGGACGTAGACGTAGCGCTCATACTAACCTTGTGTCGTTAGTCTTGAAAAGTCTCGATAAGAACATTTAAGGTTTGCGAAGTTGTAGCCAGGCCTATGCTGTTCCACTTATTGTTTTTTGTCATGGCATTTTACATCTCAATAGGGGAAACCAATGTTTCTCCACTTTCTCCATGATACATTTAAAAAAAATTATAGTGTGCATTTTGTTCATTAATCAGAAATACATGTTTGGGAGGGTTAAAGGTAGGCAGTTAATTTAGTCAGATGATGTATATGTCACCTCCCACCACCTTTTGTTTTATCAAGTTCCTACATATCTTGTTATCTCTCAGTGATCATCTTGTTACTAACACATCCTCACACCCCAGTACCTTAACCAGTATAGTGCCAGAGTCACTTACAGCGATGCTACAAATATTGCTTCAAAATGCCAGAGTCAAAGAGCTGGCACTATAATGTCCAAAGTTGGTGAAGGAACATGATCAAACGCTTGAACTAGAAACATTTCTTAACCCTTTAATTGTCTGCTCTTTGACACTGGCCTTTTTCAATGGAATTTGTAGCATCGCTCTAATTGGCTCTGGCACTATAAGGGTTAAGGCTTTATCTCTGCTGTTACTTGCTACCCTGCCTTTTTTCATCTTGCTTCTCAATTTTCTCATTGAAGGGAGTTGAGAGACAAGAGGAAGACTCCCTCAGTCAAAGCATTGCAGTGGTTGATAGGCTGTGGCCCAACTCAGCTACCATAGAAAAATTATTGTGTATCCTCGATGCTTCATTTTGTGGGTAGGTCAATGTCTACAATGCTTTTGAGATGAGTTCATTCTCCCATTTCAAATACAAACCATTGTATTGTGAGGGCCTACCAACAATGGTTGAATGAACATTTCCTCTGATCTTGCATATGATGTGGCTGGTGTTTGGTAGAAGTCCCTATGGCTGAAACACCAGCAGCACCAATGCCCTTTGGGGGATATATGAACTCATCTCAAAAACACTGCACATGTAGACATAGACTCAGGTGTATGCCATCACAAACAGGAGCAAGAGTTCATGCTTGTGAAGGAGTTACCACCAATGCATCTTGGTGAAGGGCAGGAGGAATCTCCATTTCCCATCAGTACGGCACATGTTCATTGCATGTGCATTCCAATGTTTGTGCAGTTTTGTGAAATTGCAAATGCCTATAAGCTAAAAGGAAACTAGACTTGTAGGGCTAGCATTAGCTCCAGAGAGGGTAGAGGGAATGACATTCGTTAAATCTTCATTTTTCCTAGATTCCAAGATGTATAATGGATTAAAACAAGGAGAGAGTGCTGTGAACTCCTGACCAAGTCATGTATTGTGGTAACCATTTTTACCAGAGTGGCATTTCCATCTTTTTTGTGGTATATTACTAGAGGGCATGTAAGCATCAGCTGATCGCTGGAAATAGCAGGTGTGGCCACTCATGGCTGCAAGTTGTATGAAGAAAATTCCAATGAATTTATGTATTCATGCTTGACCTCTCTGAGTGCATGCTGATGGCTTCATCCTATTCTTTCTGATGTAGAGCAAACCTCCATAGATAATTCTGGATGTCTGTGGAACATGTAATTTGAGGTGGTACTGTATTTGCGAATATATACTGCTTGAGGAGGTTTTATATGAGAAGAAGTGGCATGGATCATCACTCCTCCAATTAATTATATTTATTTTTCATTACAGAAAAGTCAGGAGGAATCATATGCTGTTGGACCTTGGCTCTTGGGATTGTTTGTGTTTGTTGTGTGTGGCTCAGGTACGTCTCCTTTCCCACTCTATTGTTTACATTGTAGCAAACCTGGACATTGTAACTTGGTGAATTCTGCTTACATCTTTGTTTGCTGCCTATAGTCCAAGTTTTCCACCTGGTTAATGTACTTCTAAAACAGGATTCTAGTTTATCATGGGTTGGAACAATAAATGCCTTTTTATCTTATGAATACAGTCATGTGCCTTCAGGCTTATGGGCCATTACCATATTATGAGACATCAAAATTAGATATAATGCTCACATTTCTGTGTAAGTGTTGGCCAGCACAATGGCCTTCATCATAGACTGCATCAATTTCCTCAAAAGTTTTGCAGACTGGCAGGGTTACCCCTACAGTCATATGCCTCTTCCCCCTTCCCTTTCCATTACACCTCTCACAAAAATATGAATCTGAGTAACTGTCCCAGAATAATAGACTGTGTAGAAGGGAGGTGATTTTTGGATGGGAACCAGGAAATAGATCATTACAATTTATGCCAAAGTCATTGTTATTCAAATTCTTTCTGTTCATTGGTTATCTGATGGACTGGCAAGACATTAATGAGAGATCAGCACCAGTGTTTGGCCCAATAATTTAGTTAGAAGCACTGTACTTGCAGACCTTAATATGGAGCCAGGGATTATCATGAACTCTCCATTCAAGTCATTTTCAGTCTTGTGGATCCATCCTCACTTAGATGTCCATTGCAGACCCATCACTTTTCTTTTTCTTCTTTGCAGCCATTTTCCAAATCATACAATCAATCCGTTTGGCTTGAAGATGGAGGCAGTTCCTGTGTGATCCAGTTTTGCATCCTTGCAGCCAAATACCATGGCTTGCACAAATCTTCTGCTGGTTTTGGTTTGATCCAAACATGCTTCTGAGTGGTATTCAAGTCTATATATATTATGATTCGAATGTAACTATTATTGTTTGAAGAGTTCCTCCTTTACTGTCTTTTCTTCTTTTCTGGCTCTTTGAAACCATTCCAGTTTACCACTTTTTATTTTCACACTATTTTCCCTGTGTTGATCTTTGAGGTTTATTTTGTGAACGAATAAAGATGAAACTCTGTGGACCAGAGGAGTTGATGGTTGTCTTTTGCATCTATGGATCACGATCTGATAACTGACTTGTCTCTGCATATGCACTGCACAAATTCCATATTGATTACATTCCACCATTTTATTCACTACCATGATCTGATCAGTAAATAATGCAGGGGCACTATACTCCAAAAGCATTTTTTAAAGATCAAGATTCATGCCTGAATTAGAATTGTCATCTTTACCTATTGTGCAGAGTCAACACTATCAGGTGAGAATTATGATGTTCTAAGTCCACATTTCTGATTTTTTACTATGGTACATTCATGTCATTTTCACATCAGTGCAGCTGGTCTGTTTTTTTACATTGCCCTAAGATTCTAGCAATGTTATGTGTGACTCTGCGAGCTTAGCACGTTGTTTTCATTTATTACAACAAAGTTAATATGGCTAAAAAGTTCAGTCTTGGCCATAAATCAATCCTCACCCAATGTCTTCTCCTTCCAGCATCTACACCAGTCAAAGCTGTCCCATTCACTGTATCTGGCCTCCTGCATCTGCAAACCTGTGCCTGCCACCATTTCCTGTGCCCTGAGTCTTTCATCTATATTTATTAGATTTGCCTTGATATGACCATGATATACCAATTGTTAGTGTGTCCCTCCCAGGATTTTAAACTTGACACCTGTGTTTTATTCCTTGGGACACTATTGAGAATCTGAAAATGACCATTGTAAGGGCTGGCCATGAAGATTTGACACCTTAAGATTCTTCAGCTCCCAGGAGATGTATGATGGTGTCATGACATAACAGAACCAGATGAATTCCCCTTGGTCTTCTATCTTCTAGTTCCAGTCTCAGTAAAATGCACAAATTGGTATGCGGCAACTGAAAAGTTCTGAGTGGCTTTGGCTTTACTCTTGGGAGAGGTTGCAAAAGGAAAAATATGAACTTTGGAAGCACTAACTGGATGGCTAGGTTCATAAAAATTGTGGGAAGCAGTGCAAGTAAGTCTGCAAGAAAAACAAAAGCATGACATCAGTTATGTGGTGAGAAAGCTTTGTGATATGGGGATGTCACCAAGGTGATAACTTGGCATACAATTGCAGACTCCTGTAAGAGGTGACAGAACAGGTTGGAAGATAATTGATTCCCTCAGGCTTTTATGGTAGAATAAAGGACAGTGGCAGAGTTGAAGAGGATGGATCATGAAGTTATCTTAGCTTTTGATGTCAAATTTACTGAGAAAGAATGCCTGAATTCAACTGAGATGGATCACCTACCATGGTGATATTGCCAGGAGCTGCTATGCTAACAACCCAATTTGACTTAATATTATTGGTACACAAGTAAAAAAAAGAATCCTATTTTTTCCTCCCAACAACTTTCTTCTTTATCCCATCTGAAGATGTTAGGTGCTAGAATGTGTTCACACTTGATGCTACTAGGTATTGATGTCAGTCCTTCAATTAACAAAATAAGACAGATGCTATCACATCTGTTGAACAGTGTTGCCATAACTTTCACTAGTCTTGCTAATGGTCAAATTTACTGAAAAATCCTCTATGCTCAACTAAATTTTCTCCATGTGAGTCAATTCATAAAGTCAAGTCAAGTCATAAAGAAAAGCAACAGCAGAAATTCAAAGACCAGGGAAAGAAGCTGCCTCATCTCAATTTTAGCTTTTTGGAGAAACTTCAACTCATTTATTTGCGTAATTCCTGATATTGGACTTTCATCTAAGTCAAGATCACAATCTCAGTTAACTTTTTTGCCTCATTCTGGATAGCATGATTGTGCTGGAAAATGTAATTATGGATTTTTCCCTCTTTTTTTTTTATCCCCCTCCCATACTAAGGGCAGGGGCAGCAGAGTCTGCAACATTATGGGGCATCCTGAGTGAGCTGTTGAAAGTGACTCCAAGAAGCCTCGAGGGCCCTCAAGGACGGAGAAATGGGTATTTTGGTATTATTGTATTTTTATGGGTGAGATAGCCGTTTTATTTCTGGGGTACTCCGGATCGTGATTTCTATTTCATTTTTATTTTAAATAGTCGTAAAGCATTTAATATTTCAGCCTGATTAGATTCCCTAGTAGACGGACGGCCTTCAGAAATTCATGACGGTTCGGGATTGCATTCCACCGACTTTTCGACTTTTTAAAATGACGTAGAGGGTCAGTGTCGGAGTCTGCAAACCAAATAGGACAGAGGCCCCTCCCCTTCTTCAGACTTGCCATTGATGGAGCACGGAAAAGCGGAGGTTTAATGGGGTTACCGAATCACGCGAACAGCAGGCTGAGTGATAGGATGAATGAGTAAACGCCATAGAGTCCTTGAATCCATCACGACCTTGAATCAACCACGACCTTGAATCAACCACGACCTCGAATCGATCATGACCTTGAATCAGTGAATGCCATGAATACACGAGCGAGCAAAAACCACGGATTCCCGAGGGTCCTCTTCGTTTCCGCTTTCATTTCGTTCGATAAGCTGCCGCTTTCCCGTTTGAATTTTTCCGGTCTCCATCGCATTCGCGAGTGTCTCTGAGGCGGATCCGAAGGCGACCGCCTCCTTATCATTGTACGTTTTTGTATTACCAGCCGTCCGCGACGTGCTATGAGAATCGTCCCAACAAATGTTAGACTCGAGAAATGCATTTAAAAAAATAGAAGTCGTCTGGTTTGGGTATTGCAAAAAGACGTTGGTAAACGCTACTGCCAGGCAACAGGTTTACAAGTCCTTTGACTTCCACCATAGTGAGTGTAACAAGAGGTAGGGGGGGACAGGCGGCGATTTGTTGAGAAATTTTGGGGAGCTCAGAGGCAGTACTCCAAGTATTCCTTATTCTTCTGCCAAATTTTTGGGTGGGCTCGAGCCCCCTGAGCCCCTATGAATCGCCGCCTATGGGGGGGGGGGGGGGATCGATATGTTACAAAGACATCTGGTGGCTTGTAATAAGCAACGCTTCGTGGCAGCGGAATCGGGAATCGACTCATTCGGGGATTAGACCCAAATGGAGTCCCTCAATGCATGTCTTGTTGAGTCCGCTGCTTGGCTCTGGAGGAGTTTTTGATGTGCTCACGCTAGGTGGAGGATCGACAGTGACATCTATATTGCGACCCTGTCAATGAATGGGATTCGAGCAGTGTCGCCTCTTGATACACTCTCGATTCTATGCTTCAGCGTCAGTCGATAGCAAGATGGCAGCACGGCAGGAGCTATTATGATGTAATGAGGCGCGATGGTTACAATTTGAAGGCTGAGTTGCCACGATGCTTGTGGCTCGCCCAGCGTTGAGGCGCATGACGTCATGAAGAAAGAGACTGGTCCACCAGGGAGGGTTCATGCCGTCGTTCGTGTCGAGAAGGGTCCAATGCAAGGAACACGTGTGGAGCGATGGCCATGCTCATGCCTTCGCAAGATTCGTCGCCTGGATGAAAACGACCTTTTCCCGTTTAGCTACCTCTCCGTTGCCAATAAGAGCGCGCACGTAGTTCGTTGTATTGGTAAGACCCCATTTAGAGCACCGTGTTCAGTTTTGGAGGCCTGTAAGCAAAAGCGATTTATCGGCGCTGGAAAGAGTTGGGAGGCGGGCAACTCGAGTGATTGAGGCGATACGAGGCTTCAAGCATTTCAGAATACGGAACAAAATAGCATCAAGTGCATAGGCGCTGAACCACGGGGGCAAAGGAGCGCGTACCCCCCCAAGAATGGCCAAAGTACAACAAAAGTATGGCACATGGAACATTGGAAACAAAATGCTATTTTACGAAAGAAGTGAAAAATATGATTTTCCTATTTGTTTAGAGCTCCAACTGGGTGAGATCCCTGTCACCACGTAAGGGTATGGGATGAAAGAGCGCGGGCCCTTGGCCCTCTCCATATCCAGCACCCCACCCCTTNACCCCACCCCTTCGATATTTTTTTAGAAGTCGGCGCCTATGCGTGAACTATCAGGCAGTAGATGGATGTGCTCCCGTAAATATATCTGCTTTAGAAGGTTTATATGAACGCCGGGCTTTGACAGGAGATGTGAAAGAGGCAGAAGTGCCTGCTCACATCCCCACCAAAACCTTGAACCTCGACGGAGCGTGGGGAGGTGTGTCGGTGCCGTCAAGGATGTCGCATCCACCTATCCTCGACTGTGTCCTGCCGCTTCTGGCATTTCTCTTGTGCACGTCAGTCTTTCGAGCTGAGGGAAATAATAATAATACTATTTATTCCATCACTCTTGCAAGACCATTTGGTCCGTTGAGTTCGTCATGATATCTAAAACTACAAATGTACATACTCTCATAAAGAAGCAGAAGGTGAAGAGAAAAATAAATAAATAAGCAGAAATAGGTAAATAAGAAAATAAGTAACAAAATAAACAGGATTGGACAGAACACACAGAACTGGACAGAACCCACCGAAGCTGAACACATGAACATAAGTATAAAATCAATAGAGTGGGAAAGGAGACGTACCTGAGCCACACACAACAAACACAAACAATCCCAAGAGCCAAGGTCCAACAGCATATGATTCCTCCTGACTTTTCTGTAATGAAAAATAAATATAATTAATTGGAGGGGGGTGTGACTGCACCTTCACAAAAGAGGAAACTCGAGTAAGAGGACGGTGGGTATATAAACCTGATGTGGGGCAGGAGGGGAGGTTACCAGGTAATATTAAAAAATTCTGAGAATGAGTGGAGCTGGTGTGAGAGAAAGAGTTCCTTCAACTGGCTCCGGAAGGCTGTATGATTGAGTTGCCGAATTGATGACCTGGGGATAGAATTGAAGTAATGCAGCCCCCAGGAGGAGATGAGTCTATTTGCCAGGGCGGATGAATCAATTGAACGGTGGTAGTCATTTTTACTTCGGGTGTTGTAGGAATGTACGCCTGCATTTGAGATGGCTTTGTTCTTAGAGACAATAGCATAGAAATAGACACTGGTGTGGAAGAGAACTAAGCTGGGGAAGGTAAGGAATTTGAGTTTAGGGAAGAGAAGGTACATGTGGTACGACATGTGGTACGGATTGACTTGTGGAGGATGGTTCTGACGATGCGTTTCTGGAGCGACAGGATACGACAGACATGTCGCGCAGAGCAATGACCCCAGGCAAGAACTCCATAGCTCAAGTGAGGGAAGGCAAGAGCGTAGTACATTTTTTTAAAGTCTTCCTGAGAGAGAATTGAAGAGAGACGGTATATAGATGCTGCAGCGTATTTCAAGAGGCGACAGACGTGGTCCACCTGGTTGTCCCAGTGAAAATAAGGATCCAAACGAGTACCGAGAAAAGTGGTTGAGGTGGCGAAGGTGAGTGGGGGATCAGTTTGTCGGAGTGTGGAAAAAAGTACTCGAGTTGTTTTTAATCATTGAGGCGCAGGCCGTTGTTGGTTGTCCAAGAATGTATGGCTATGTTGCAAGATGTTTAGACGGAAGTGGGCGTGGAGTTCCGTGATATAGGAAGGCAGGCTGTGGTGTCGTCGGCAAAAAGCGTGAGGTGAACCTGGGGAACGTTGACGGGGAGGTCGTTAATATATATTATAAAGAGGAGCGGACCAAGGACCGAGCCCTGTGGAACGCCGCTAGTAATGTTGATCGGTTCCGAGACGTGAACGCGACCTGTATGATCCCTGTGATGTACTGCTGCTTGCCGATTGGAGAGGTAAGACTGAAACCACGAGTTTGTGACACCGCGGACCCAAAGCGATTCTGGCTCCTGTAGCAATAATTAGTGGGAGAAGCTATCATACGCTTTGGCAATATCGTAGAAAACACCTACGGCTGCTTGATTTCTGTTTAGGATAGAATGCACCTCCTTCAAGAAATGAAGCAATGCGTCTTGAGTGCTGAGATTGCTACGAAATCTGAACTGACTGTGAGATGAAGGAGATGGAGTTGAGATACAAGTCGAGACGATGTTGCACCAATTTTTCAAAGACCTTTGATATAACCGGTAGAATTGTGATTGGCCGATAGTTTGAGACTATGTCCTCTCCTTTTTTATGGATCGCGATGAGCTTGCATGTTTGAGAGCTGATGGGAAAACGTCCGTACTTGATGAACTGTTGAAGCTGAGGTGAGGGGGAGAGCGATAGATTGAGCTACCTTTCTGATAAATTTAGCACTGACATTGGAGAGGCAAGAACTCAACTGTGGATGACACCGCAAACGACCGTTATTTCAGCTCCTCTGTGGACCAATGAGAAGACGGAGTCACGACATGACGTCACCGGTCACGTGACCTCGCTGGAGTAGATTCCCCTTCCGGTTAGAAAAGAAGTGAGTTCTCCATTCTCAATCGCCTGAGGGCCACATACGACCTATGGAGCGGGATCGGCGGTGTCACTTCGCGACTCGTCCTCTCATCTGCCCACGTAGGTGCTACAAGTAACGGTCTTCAACGGTGCCAACCTCATGGATGTGTCGCATTTGCTGCACGTCATCGACTCTCAGAATGAGAACTTAGTCCTCATCTGTCATCGCCACAAGACTTCAGAGAGAAAAAAAGAGACGGGGTATAGACAGACAGAGGAGGATAAACTGCCTGGCTTTCGTTGTAAAAACCATGGATACACGATCGCGACGTCCACTCGGTCACGAGGGACATCTACTGTTGGCCAAGCTGTTGGTCTGAGACCGGACAAGAGTCGCCATGGGTTTGACGGTGCCGACAACACGGAATGTCACAAATGCTGTCAATAAGGATCATGAAACAGCGCCTATGTCAAATGCATTCATTCACTGACCCATTCTGCATTTCACACATTAAGGTATACTGCCCAATACAGTAACAACAATTCTGAATTTGAAGTTTGAAGAGTGGGCAAGATCTTTGAGAATCAAGGTATGTCTCATGGCTATTCGAAGCCTCAAAGATCCCATTCACAGTGCATAGTGATAGCTGGAAAGAAGCATTCCACCCCAAAATTGCTATTTTGAGCAAATGTCTAATTTGAAAATATCATCTTTAGCCAAGCAGTTGACTGTTTAGGGTTGAGTCACAACAAATCAATGAAGGAAGAAAAACTAGAAGAAAGTAACAAACACTTCAGATTATATTCAGTTAGGAACATAATAAAATGACAACACTCCCTCATTTCAAGAAATTTTGGGTCGACTCTTTTGTGCATTCCTTTTAGAGGAGTATTTGGTGATGATTTCCTCGAGATGTGGTCGATGGTCCAGGATCTTCATCATTTTCAGTTGAGCCTCCAGCAAGAGATCCTGGGAACCTTTGCAGCGCTGCAAATTTGCCTGTCAGATAGAAACATCAATTGTGGGAGTCATAAAAGTGTGGTTCAACATCAAGCAACATGAGGGGATGGAAACGCACTCGGAAGAGTTCAATAATCGTCTCCTGCTTGGAATCCCGGGAAGGCCGACCACGAAGGAAGGACTCCATGACCCGACCCAGTCTCTCTTCGTATTCCTTCTCCTCTTCCAACTGCAGACAAATAACAAGACAACATTAGCAGCCTACTGATATAGCATTGTGGTGGCCTGAAAGAGACATGTAGAAAAGCCAAGGTGCTCTCTGTCTAACAACTTTCCAAATCAAAGTTTATTTTTAAAATGGAATTTACAAAGATAGGAATGATCTAAAAATCCTGCTGAAATAACCTCCCCCAAAAAAGGGAATAAACCAACAATATTCATAATCTCACAAAGGCATGCAAGAGAGCAGAGAAGTCCCCCCCCCCCACTGTACTCATGAGCTAATACTAATAATGATGAGCTATACTCATGAATTCTAATACATAAAAACGGCAGCTGTGTCACAAGGGGACTTACGAGATCCTCAATCTGTGCTTGGAGAAGGAAAAGCTTCCAGCCACGCAGTTTCTGCTGGATGTTTCTCTCATTTGAGAGTTCTTGGACAGAAGGACGCTTATCTTCTCGAATCTGCATGGACAGAAAAAATTATAACTTATGTAAGGTGAAATTTGAAGTTTAAGGAATTTTACTGCAATACAAAATAGGATCAGATTCATTCACAGGCAAAATTTTCTAGGTAGGTGCAAGGAAAATTCTTGCAAGACAGGGCAACATATTTCAACAGTGAGTACTGCAATTTATCTATTGTACAGCACCATAGATGAAGCACAGACAATCCCGTAAGCAAATTTAAGGTTTTTTGTACAGTACGCCTAGTTTAGGTTGTTCAAAATGAACCCACATATTTGCAAAGCAAAAACCTAATGGTGGAAAAGTGGTACAGATATGGGTACAGCTCAGTGGAGGCTCATGATATTTAGCAATAGTGGATCATGGGCTGCCCATGACACGGCTCTACCAAAACAGTAAGAAGCAGACCTTGACATCAGTGAATCGGACAAAATGATGATGGCGAGGTTTCCAGGTGATAGCATCATTTGCTCGCAGGGAGAGTCGGGGTTTCTTCACGATTGTCTCCGTCTCCTCTTCCTCTTCTTCCCCTTCTTCCTCCTCCTTCACCTCTCCTCTTCCCCTCTGTCTTCTCTCTCCCTCATCCTCTTCCTCTTCTTCCTCCTCCTCTTCTCCTTCCATTGCATCTGCATTCACAAACCTTTTACATGTGAAATGCAGGAGAAAGGGATTGCTACACATGACACCTCTAGAAGAATTACAATCATAACAGGATCCCATCGGCCTATTGCCAGCAGGAAATCTCCAAGAGATAATACCTCAAGTTGAACAGAATGTTTCTACATGTTTTTTCTCAATTTTCTTGGACTCTTAGGGCTTTGACATGCTGGTTTTATTGAAACTATAACTCTGAAGGAGTCATATTAACATTACCAAATTATGCAAAGTAGCAGACAACGAAATGATGGACACAATGGTTAAGAAGCATGAGGTGCACTATTACCTCAATCCAGATCATCAAATTTTAGTAAGTAGTATGGCATCCTCTGGCTGCAATGCAAGTCTCCAACAGATGTGGCATGCAATCACAAAGTTAGATAAGTTCACCTCATGCCACTTAGCGGTGTCAATTGCCTCAAGCATGTCTCTGTCTTTTCCTTCACTACATAGGGATATTTGGGGTTCAAAATTGCTGAAATTTCAAAATTTCAAAATCAAGAATGATGCTAAAACCTCATTTAAACTCAAAGGATGTATGAATTGAATTGTTCACCTATTGAAGAACTGAGATTGAAGCTACAGCATACCTCCAGATGATGAACAGTTCTGGAGATGTAAATTTTGACATCCATGTGGTTTTTTTTATTTTCCCCCAAAGTTGGGGGGGGGGGGGGGGGGGGGGGTCTTGCTCCCTTTTTAGATCTTGGAAGATTATATAAGGGACATTCAGAAAGTTCTAGTTCATCAGTGTACAAAAGGAAGGATAGGCTCGGCAGAAAGGGGGGGGGGGTGATATCATGCTACCTACACATCCCATGGAGGTCACTCTCTTTTAAATGAAGTTGTCTAACTGCAATTGCTAAGGAATTTCATCACAAAATCACAGTTGGTCAGGCACCATTTTATTTTGACATTGGTTGAATTCGTATGGAATGACCCCAAAATTAAAAATACGTGAAGTTCAATATACCACCTTACGGGTTTTCCACTAACCAGTAGAGTTCTCAAATTTAAAAGAAATCCCAGAGCATTGAAAGCCTTTTAGGAATTCATGGTTAGCACTGAATTAAAAAAACATGGAAGCCATTATGCAAGAGGCAAAACATGCCCTTTCCTAGTATTCTCAGGATATGGTCATATACAGAATGTTCGTACTTAAACACAACATAGGGAAAATTTTGCCACCTGCTTGTGGAGTTCTGCAAGTACCTCATAGCTCACTGGGGTGCATATCTATCAGGATAAAAATAATCACTAGTGTGTTTCCTTGCAGGTATAAACCCCAATGGGCCTTATAGAGCTAGCCTAACTAGTAGTAATGTACTTTGCTGTCTGGAAAGACACACTGATTATTGGTTTATTACAAAAGGTGTTGAAATTGACCACTGCCATTTGGATGCACAACTGTGCACATTGGAGCATGCTGGAAGACACTGCCTGTGATGTGGTGAGTGGGATGTTGGCAATGAATTGCAAGATGGTTTTCAATTCATCCAAAGTGTGGATTATTGCTGTAGGTATTCTCCTTGAGATATCCCCATTGGAAGAAATCCAAAGGCAACAGATCCGCTGAACACGGAGTCACAGCCCTTTTGAAATGATGTAGCCCCCCCCCTCCAACATCTCCCCATGCAAACATGCCTTGGAACATTCACATTCCCAGTTTCCCTGAACCTTTTCACAAGCTTTCAGTTGACTGATTTTGCAGGTGGTTTATAACATTCAAATCACATGCAAAAATCATTTTGCATTGTTTTAAACTATTCAGTTTCCAAGAAATGTTCCAGAAGGAACATATATTCCTGCACATTAAACACCATGTTTGTGCATGCTGGTGATAGGTGGCAGCAATTTCCAGACTACAAAGTATGTTACTATCAATTTTCATGCTCCTAGCTCTTTCCTACCCAAAGTTGTTAATGGTTTCAAGGGTTCTCACTTAAAATGCTCACCCTGTATTTCCTATGTTGTGTTCAAGTATGAACACCTTGTATATGCTCTCATGGTCATCACTACCATGGTTTAAAACATTACCAGTTGTCCAAAAGTCAAGTGGCTTTATCAGAAGCACCATACAAATGCATAACTAATGCATGAAGGCAAAGGACTGTAGGTGGATTGCATGAAACTGACTTTTGCCTAATGGAGCTCTAAACTTCCTTTAGCACCACTAAAGGAGGTTTAGAGCTCCATTACGCTAAAGTCAGTTTCATGCAATCCACCCTGTAACTTCAGGCATGCTACCAGGAGACAACAAAGTCATGTGATTTTGGTTGAGGGTTACAAGGGTTGCCATTAAAACAGTTGTTCAATATGCCTGTCAGCACTCTCAAAAAGAACCTCCACAAATTTGCAAAAACTGCCTAAAGAAGCTCAAGCAAATGAAGACAGAGGTTTACCCATTGCTCCATAAACTGAATGCTTTTTCAGAGAATTCCTGTAGCAATCCTCATGATGCCAAAGTGCCACAGTGTCAAACCCATCTGCACATTGTACACCAATTCCCCCAACCCTCCTACCTCACATGACTTCATCAACATTATCTCCCAGCCATACTTATCCCTGAACTTATCCATGAACATGGATGCTTCTATCTGCTATGATGTTCCAAGCAAGCCTCCTGACATTTGGAGCACCTTACACAATATCTGTAGGAATTTACAACCCACCAGAAGTGGCAGAATCTTGGTCACTCTCAAGATGAAGGACAGGTGGGCTCTGAGGACCCTCCCGCAACTCAGTCCCCTGCCTGACAAAAAAAAATAAAACAGGGAAAATAACATTTCACATACATAATACAAGAAAGAAGGCAAAATGGAAGAATTATACAGCTGCTGCTTTCTGGGTTTTTTGCGGGGACTCAGAGGCATGGATTCAACCTGGGACATATTCATGCCCTCTGGCTGCTCCTGCTTTATCAGTTCCTCCACTGGTGTCACTGGCTCACTCATCCCTAAGAAGAAAGCTCATTTTCAACATATATGCTCAGTCTCTCCCATTGAAAAAAGCCAGGAAGAAGTTGGACAAACCTGGAGAGGATGTAGCAGAGATGGTGGAAGATCCTCCTGAGGAGACGTTGTCTGGATGAGGGGAAAGGGGAGGGAGAGGAGGTGTGGATGGAGGAAGTGCTCCCAGATTCAATGCTCTCCTTGCATTAGATGGACTGCAAAACCAAGTCAAACCAAAGAAGGGAGAAAATCAGGCAAGGTATTTTATATCATTTTAAAAGTCAACAATCTGAAATCCTAAAAGCAAAAAGAAAGGCAGGGAGAAGTACTGAGATAAAGGAAGCTATTTTGATATCCCTATATGTCTAAAACTCTCAGCCTTATGCAAACCTGTCAGGTTCCCGCTTGCGGAGGATGCTAGGCCTGGGGGACATGGATGTGATTTTGGGTGTAGTCACTTGACCTAGTGGTGGAGGGGTTTGACTTCCTTCTTCCCCACTTTCTGCAAATGGAATTAACAATAAAATAGCAATTAAAAAAAAATCTAAAATATAGTCAGGTTTAAAGCTAATTTGGGTTGAAAAGATATATGGGTGAGTTGCAGGCTAAGCTCGTCTTCAGAGAAGCATATGCCAAAAGCAGATGTTTCACCAAAGTTCTAATCTGCACATGCATCCACAGTGGCAGTGGGACAGGAAGGCAATGAACCTTACAGAAACTTTTAAAATTTAAATCCTACTGAAAAATGAATTTTGGAGATAGCAGTTAACAATGCAATTATGGACAGAGGCAAACAAGGCAAAAAGGAAGCCCTTTTTAGCAGAAGGGTAACCACTGGGCTAGACTTGCAATGTATCTCACTCCTCTTTCCACCATTTCTCATGCATAGCATTTGAAAATGAACCAACCAGGTGGTAGGCTGAAAGTGTGAGGCACTCCAGGCTCCACCTTCACCTCATGTTCTTTTGCCAGGGCTATTAAGATATGAAGGAAACACTCAGCTCCCATGTCAATTCTTCAATCCTGTAACTTAGGGTGGCCAATAAATTAAATATACCCAAGTACTTGCTACAGAAGACAATACATGGACAGGACAAGCACATTCTGAGCAGACATATCTGAAGCACTTAGGGAAAGTTTGTCCACCAGCCAAGGGTCTACAGAATTAGATATATATATATATATATATAATAAATAAATAAAAATATATATATACTAGGTCGTGCCTTCGGCGCTCCATAGTCCAGGTTAGTGATTCATTCTTTTTTTTTTTTCAAAGTGGCAAAAACATATAAAAAGTATGTGCCTGTTGAAATGTGTGCAGAGAGAGAACGAACCAATATTTCCATCAAAATAATTACACTAATTATTTATTGTGTGCCTGACTTCAAATCTCTTCATAATCTGTCCTGAGGGGTCATATTTGAAAAGTAGGATATGCACTCAGCAATCAAACAGGTACTTATGCTCCAAGTTCAACTTTCTTTAGTTCTCTCTTTCATTGGATGAGAAAAGTTTCCGGAAAATGTGTCTTTTGCAAAAAATGCACCCTCAAGAGTTTTACCTAAAATTTAACATTTTACTACCTGCCTACCTAGTTTCAGTCTTCTCCACTAGCTCGTTTTGCTGGTGCAGAAATATCTTTTGAAAAGCTGATGCAGCCAATAGTTGTGCCCTGAGGGTACCACAAAATGTCAATTTTTTCTGAACTCACCATCACCTCAGTTATTGGTGTGAAAGGTTTAGTTTTCTATTTCTGCCCAATTCAGTAGGAAAATTTTTTTTTAATGTCATCCCCCAAAAACTATGCCCCCAGGGCATGCATCTGAAACTTGACATTTTTCTTAAACTTTGTGTCTCAGTAGGCATGTCCATGCCACGTTTCAGCTTTCCATGTCTCTCTGTTTGACTGAAGCAAATATAAATCATTGAAAACATCTCCCCCAAAAATGGGTGCCCCCAGGGCATGTACCTCCAAAGTCTGATTTTTTCTGAACTCTGCATCCAAAAAGGTACATGTGTTCCGAGTTTCAGATTTCTAACTTCCCTAGAACATGGTTAGAATTAGCATCAGTCAGTCAGTCACGATCATCTATATATATTAGATATATATTAGGAAAAAAAAAACAATAATAGCCTAATTTCTGATGGGAGGATACACCTTGGGTCTCCTTACAATGGGTAATCAGAATCACCTTTTGATCAGAAGATGAACACTTCAAAGTTGAGAGCAACCAATCAGAGGATATCGGCACAGAAAAATTAAATGAGGAAAATGTTCATCCTGCAGAAATGAGGGTTCCTTCACTTCTAAATGCAGGTTCTAGAGTAAAAGTGAAGGTAGATTTTTGCCAAATCATATCACAGAATTGTACATTTACATAAGAAAACCCTCTTCCCCGCAGGAAGCTTCAATTCTGAAGAATCTGGTTGGATGCCTCCTGGAAGGAATTAAGTCTGTTCAGTCTTTCTCCAGAAAAATGTCCAAGTATAATGAAAAAGTTACTGCTTTATCTTCAGTGTATGAATGAAAACCAGAACATAAAAGAAGCCTACTTGCAATTCCAAAAAAAAAGGCTTCAAAGACCTATGATGGTGAAACATGAGCCAGTGCAGACTTTTCAAAATTATTACTAAATCAATATTTATTTATTAATTAAATATTCATTATGAGTATTCTTTTGTTTATAGTAAATAAAATATTAAAACATTTTAATTTTGAAAATGTCTTACCTTTGGGAATGGATGCCAGGACCTCAGTGCCAGGAGGTGGCAAAGGAGAGGCCTCAGGATGAGCAGGGATGCCAGACAGTGCACTTGCACGGCCTGCCTGACCATGACTTGAGGATGACCCTGAAACAAATGCCTTCCCTAATTGCACTGGTGCCATAACTCCTGACAATGGAGGTGGCTTGCCTGCAATCTGCATCCCAATGCTCATAGGTCCTGCAAGCATGGAATGCAACAGTCAATGAGGAGCAACACAATCTAGCACACAAGGCAAGAGAAAGCTGCATCATTACATCATGTCATGACAAGGGTTGCAACAATATCAAGTTCTACCTAAATCCCTGATTCGATATTCTGCTGATGGAAATTCAGCAAAAATTCAACATCCAATACCTGATATACCAAATCATAATGGTTAAATTAAGTTTTTTTTTTCCTTTCAGCAATTCATAATACCCAGGCATGCAGTAGACCCTTAAGAATATATAGGCTTAGAAACACATTTGACTTGGTCCAGTATTTCATGTCATCATTGGATCTAACCATCCCAATGTTCTTTCTTGTCAGTTCTCCACCTCATGGGGGGGAAAAAGGCACATAAAAAATATCGGAAATCATATGCATACTGGTACTGATTGTCAGCATCATAGCTAATATCAACTGATAACAAATGCTGATAAATTGCAGCCTTAGTCATGACTTCTCCTTCTGTTCTATTTCTCTGTGACAAGCCCAGCTGGCCTGGAGAGTGCTTTAAAAGAGCAATTTAACAATTGGAGAGGAGGGGAATTGACAGAGAACTTCAGGAGTGTCACCTTGGATTAAAAACTGATAAATTGCCAAGAATGCTACAGAGTATATCAAAACCAGTAAAGTGACTTTTGGCCACAAGAAAGGGCTGGGACTGACTCGTTTTCACAGTAAGGGGGAGAGGCTCAGAAGAGACTGATGATGGGTGATGACCTCGGGTAACTGAGGAGAGGACGTGAACTGGTTGGGTGATGACCTTGGGTCCTGCCTTGGAGGAGGCCTGATGGGCAGTGGGAGGATTTGCAATACCCGTCGCCACACTTGATGTCACGTTCTTAACTGAGATCGATGTCCCCCCTCCAACAGGGACTATGAACAAATAGAACGTGTCAAGAGCCGAAATTACCATTAAGTGTCTCCTATGCATACAGGGCATGAGGGGATAGGCTTACAATCATCATGACTGACCAGCAAAATGCTTTCATAAACAGCACCCATTAAATGAGAGGGAATATTTATCACCTGGTAGGAGAGACATGGCAAATTTATCAAAATTTATTTCATCTAGATGGAGCATTATACTATCAGAGGTTGCACTAAGTTTCTTGCCCTGGCCTCCTGCCCATGCATCCTAGGGGTCCTGGGATCCCCAGGACGCACAGGCAGAAGACCTAAGACTGCTGGATTGAATATCATCCTGCTTGGTTATGTCAAGTTGGCAAATGCACATGGATTGCTGGACTTTTACTTTTGGGGAACCTTTCAACATTTCCTCATGCTTCACTTGGAAATTATGGATGAAATGGACCCTTCCATATCAGACCTGAGGGTCCCTGGGACTCCTATGACAAGAAACCTAGTTCAACTCCTGACTATGCATGCAAATACCAGTCTCTGCCACTTGGGGCAAGTTTGGCTTTCTCTGACTGAACCAAAACATGAATCATAAGCAATGATGACCTTCTAGGGCAAATTTTTCTCCTATCACTTATAAATTTTCATTTTGACAACACTGGTGGGCCACTGAACATAAAGGACATACTGGCAGGTGAGATTCCAAATTTGATGGCCTGAGAAGGCACTCCCATGGGGGATGAAGTAACTTTAGCCAAAGTAGCAGTCGCTAATGTGACAGTGTTGGTGGTTGTCACTGTGAGGACAGGTGGATGGTGACGATCCACACGGGATGTGAGGACAACAGTGGCTGCACTTGTAGTTGTGCTTCCTCCAGTCTGACCAGCAGTAGTCAGCTTCTCTCCAATCTGGAATCAGGGGAACCATCACAACTCATCAATTATGGCCCTAAATGAAATGAAACCATGAAAGGTTGAATAAAAATTACCTGGACATTTGCTGATGTTGTGAGGGATGGAGCAGGTACCAAGGTGATTCCTGGGGCTGCTGCAGCTAAAAAAAAATACATTTTTTCAAACTACATTTATTTTCCAGTCTATTTTAAAGACTTAGGAAAAGGCACATATGAGAATGAGGACAGATTTCAGAGGGATTATGATACCACTTTCTTGATTTCCCTTCTTTAGGTGTACATTCCTAACATGATAGTTTATGTCCTCTCAATGAGACAACAATAGAAAAATGAACAATTCCTTATTCAGGAGATATAAGAAAAATGAATAATGATAAAGATGCCAAGTTAACTGAATTGAATCAGGCAATAAATATGATGAGACACAGAAACAGAAATTTTTAACCTTCAAACTTGTTTTCTGAACAATTTGTTCAGAAGAAAAGGATAACAATTCCAAGGCTAACTTGCAAATAATGAGCCTGTAATATAGGAGAAAACATATGACAAGTTACTTTTTCCCTAATCAAAAAATAGAAAGGACATATGTTGGGCCAATATGATAGGGCTGACAGTTGCTGCATATTGCCCATAATAAAAAAAATTAGCATTTATCCTTATGAATAGAATAACAGAAAGACTAAAAAAAGTATACCATATATGCAAAGTTTGAAACTAGGGACTAGGTCTCAAACTTGAACACTACCATTCCTTCAATACAATGAAGTGAACAGGACAGAGAGAAGGTATAAAAATGAACAAATTAAGTATCAAGTATTAGACAGAAACCTGTGGCACCTATGACCTACCTAGTAAAAAACCCAAAGTCCTATCTAATTAGTATACTTTGCCCACCTTAAAAAAAAAATGCAGGCTTGGAAAAGCTTCTGGCAGAAAAGGAATTAGTACATCCTAAAGTTTGAGCCTGTGCAAGACAGAAATATACACATAATATGGAATATACTGAACCCAGAAAAGAAAAGGAATAGTTTTATGATTTACCTTCTTTCATGCAATTCACATTTACTCAGGCCTGCTTACATCCAAAAACTGCCTGTACAACTAGTAAGCATTTAAAAAAAGCCATATATAGGAATGGTAAGTCAATCCAGCAACCATCATTTCTTTAATTATCTAGAATGCAAATGGAACTACTTCACAATAGAATGTCACAATGCACTAGTGAAACTTCTTTTTTTACTGCCTGGCAAAAGAAGTTGAAGCTTCATCTCTCAGAAGTGATAAAGTATTGCAGTGGATAAATATTCTAAGAATGAAATGGGATCAGGGTTCTAGGTGCTCTGTCAAATGGTGAAGAACACTCCATTGGGACTTCAGACTCAGAAACGACCAAAAATTGGATTTCTCACCTTGAGTAGTAGATGCTCTGAAAGAGATTCCAACCTTGGGAGCAAATGGAGCAGCCCATCGTGGGGATGTAGTGGAGGTCAAGATTGCTCCGGGTGGAGGGGCCCCACTTGGGCTGAAAATTGAAGCAGGAGCTTTATCAACCTACATCAATGTAATGAAGTATCAGTGCACTATGGAAAACAGGAAGACTACAGTCTCACCTCTGCATGGCAGCAATGATGGGTGTCATACCAGCTCGAGGCTGTGCAGCAGTAGCGAATGCTGTCTTTGCCAAGGCCATGTTCGCCACAGCAGCAGGACCTGAAACATATCAGACTTCTGTCATCTGGCAAACAATATGATTTGACATGCGAAGCAGGAGGATGTTAAAAGCAGGGCTTGCACCTTTTGGTAGATGGAAGGCAGAGACCTGTGCTGGAGTGAGAATGGCAGCAGTGGTTTGGCCTTGAGGTCCCATTACAGGAATGTGGAATCCAACAGTCTCTTTTGATACAGCTGTGGTAGTTGAAGATGAGGCTGGAGTTGATGCAGAAGCTGCCATTGTCGTCACTGTCAGTGGACGGATGCTCCCCAAGGGAACCGTCATTGGGATCACATGTGCTTGAACTGAACAAATGGCAGCATATGAGAAGTCTCTTCCTACCCAAGTGAAACTACTTTTAACAAAGGGGCCACAGAGCAGGCAAAAGTAAGCACAGTTCATTAAAAATTTCCTGTGAAGATAGTACTCTTACTCTCCTAACCTTCCTCTTTTATTTCAATGACCTCCTGACTTTTTCTCTCGGGCCGTATGAATACGGAAATGAAGTTAGGATACCTGTTCTTGTAAGGGTGGCTCCTCCTGATACTGCAGGTGTTCCAAGGGCAACTGTTATGGGCTTCACATTGCTGTTGGATGCAGTAGGCATGGATGCTGTGCTAGATGCCTAGAGAAACAACAGCAAAATCTCAATTCACTCATTGAATGTAAATACATCATGGTCAAGCACTGAGACCCTTGAAATGTTCTTGCTGCTATGTTAACTACACATTAAAAATTATCCTTATGGGGCTTTTTGTTTTCTCTTTTAGGCAATATTTGGGGTCCAGTTTTTATTTAGCCCTTAGGACCCTGAGCAAGAGTGTATAATTCCCACTCTTCTCATCATCCTACATTGCAGATAATGAGAGATTTTCTCAATAAAACCTACACTGTGTTCATAATTGCTGGCCATTTTCAATTCCTACCATTTCAGGAAGTACATAAATCCCTCACATGGACTACATGCCTATGGATTTTCATTTAGAAAAATGCCCTTCTGCTTACTCTTTTACTATACTTACAATCACCAAAGTAGCTGGTACATGACTTCCAGTGCAGTCAGAAAGTTCACAGACCACACAAATGGGTGCTACTGAGTTTTCACCTCATTTCCTAGTAAGATTTTCTTTGAATTACCTGAAAAGCTTATGAGCTAATCTACATTCAGCAAAGCACCTTTGGCCTATGAAAGGTATAGAGTAAGTCTGTCTTTGCTATGCATTGCACTAGGCTGTCAATGGATCATACACATACCCATAACAGGCAAGTTATTCCTACAATAATTTTTTTTATTCAGAAGGCTCTGCATTCAGCATATTTATGAAAAATCCCATGTAAATGCAGGTCACAAAGTCCATATACTGGGTTATCTGCATGAACCTGTGGCAATTATTTCCAGCGGTGGAGATGTATTGCACCACCATAGCTATTTGATTGGTGAACTGGTAATCTCACCCTTATTCTTGGCCCAAAACAGGTTAAAATATATATGAGGGGCAATCAGAAAGTTCTAGGAATTTCTTTATAATTTCTGGATAACTTAATTCATCTCCATTATACAGAGACTTTTCAATATAGTACCCTGAATTTGATGCACTTCCTCCAGTGTGGAATCAGTTTCCTTAGACTGTCAGAAAAAAAATTTTCTAGAGTGTTTCTGATCCACCTATTTAGTGCAACTTTCATTGCATTGAGGGAATCAAAACACACTCTTCACAGAGGCTTCTTCATCTCACTGAAGAGGTGGTAGTCACTGGGAGCCAGATCTGGTGAGTAGGGTGAATGTGGGAGCAATTCCCACCTCAATTCTGCAATGGCTGTTCTAGTTAAGTGCACATTGTGGGGCCTTGCATTGTCCTGCTGAAGAAGTGACTGTGAATGCAACTTCCCAGGGCATTTTTCAACAATAGCCTGTCAGAGATGACCCAAAAGCAGATTAGAATAGTATCCTGCATTGTGGTACCTTTTGGTAGGTAGTTGATCATTATTTGCAATCCCAGAAAACCGTAAATATAACCATCCCCAAAGAGGAAACTGTTCAAGTCTTCAAAGGAGGTCCCTCTTGAGATCGGTGCCACTCCTTAGATTGTGATTTGGTCTCAGGATTGAAGTAGGGAAGTCACGTCTCATCTACAGTGATAATACGGTAGAAAAAACTCTCCTTGTATTCTTGGCTAAGTTGAAGCAGCTCTCTACTTGTTTCCCTTCTATCAACTTTTTGCTCAGGCCCCAACAGGCAAGGTGCCCATCTGGCATAAACCTTCATCATACCAAGATGTTCATGGAGAATCTCATGAGCCTTGCTGGTGCTGAACCCCTGGGAAGTAGCAAGCTCCTGAATGGCAACTCGTTAATCTTCCATTAGAATATTTTCTGCAGTGTGACTTTTTTCATCGGTGGTAACCATTCAAGGGCGACCGCTGCGTCTTCTAAGGCCAGGCAACCGTCCTCAAACCACTCCAGCCATCAATAAATGGTACGCTTTGATTTTTCAGATTCTCCAAAGACAGTCTGCAGCCGCTGAACAATCTCAAAACCGCATGCACATTTTCTCCACAAAAAGAAAATAATCGCTCGCTGAGCTTTCACCACATCTTCCATGGCTTTGAAAAACAACTGAACTGAGATGAATAACTCTGCTCAGATTATTTGAGCAACAATACTGAATTCAATAATAAACAAAGTAAGCCTTTATCCAAAATCTCTCATCAGAATAGGTTAAGCTCAACTTCCTTTTGTACACTGATGAACTAGAACTTTCTGAATGTCCCTTATATAATCTTCCAAGATCTAAAATACGAACCATTTATACATAGCCACATTCAAACCTTCCAAGCAAACTCCAGAACATTGGTTTCAGGTGCAATACAAAGCTGGTTTGTAAGTTATTTGCAAATAAATTTGAGAACTGCTAGTCAAATATAGAGGCTAAAGAAATTTAAACAGAAAAGTAATAGAGGCTGAAGAAGTTTGGACAGAAAAGTAAATTCCAGAGTTCCATGAGAATCTACTCTAAGTCCTCTACATTTCCTCATATACAGGAGGTAACATAAGTCAGGAACCATAAAATAACAAGAACATCACTTGCTGCCATGCCTACATCAAATTAACCTAGCAATACGTATTGTTATTGCCATGCCAAAGTTATCTTTTACTCCAAGTTACCCAAGGACTTAAAGTAGCATGGCCCCCTAAATAAGAATGATAGCTTCAAAATTAATATTGACATCCTCCAGAGCACAGCAGAGCAGATTGTGGATACTCTGGTCACACTCCTACTCATGGTACTAGTGCAATAGTCATGGTTCCTATCTTTCCCTATCTAAGGCCTTTATTGCAAATCATGAACTTTGCATAATTGATCCCATTTTCTGTTCTTGCTTGTTCCAGCTTAGGCCTCTGCCATCTCGCTTCTTTGCCATGCCCACAGCTATCATAGCTGTGCGATGCTAACAGACCCAGGTCTATGCGTTCACGACCCACCTTGATGTCGACGTTTGACGCAGACTTCTGCTGTAGGCCTGCGCCTACTCCTAATGAAGAGAGTGCTTTCGCGCTCCTCTCCTGTATGGTGACGGGTCGAACCGGGACGGTCTTCGTCTCCGTCGACCCCGACTTCGTCTTCTGCGCCAAATCGATCGGAAGGAACTGAGCCTGGCTCGGACTTTTATCGCCCCCAACCTTGGAGGTCTTCCCCACCAACTTCTCCCCTTCCATTCTCCGTCTAACGGTGCAGAATTATAAGTCACACTTCGTAGAAACTCCTTTACACGGAGTCATGCTCACCATGTGGGTCGACATGAAAATGAAACGGACGCGAAAGTGACAGTGTTGCCATTCACCGAAACGGATCCCAGACACGCTGTTTCTTATTTCTCACCGAATTTCCTAGCTAAGTGCGTATTTTTAAATTTCAGTTGCTGCATACGAACAGGTTTCATTCATTCATCGATTTCATTCATTTATAAAGTACTTGAACTGAATTCTGTTTCTGTCGCTGTTGCAATGTTTTTGCGGAAATTTGACCTGACACCAAACTGCATTACCACAAGCGAATGCTTTCGTTCCTGCATGCGAAATTTTGTGGTCGATGGAATGATGGACTTGACCTCAAGGTCTTGACGACTTTTTTCGTTCGTAACGTAAGTTGATCAGATTTCTGTGCCACGAAAGCGGGACGCTCAATAAATTTTTTCTTCCAAAAAAATAATGTGAATGGTTTCGTTGCGCTGACAATTATATTTTTTATGTTCCACTAAGGATAGTAGATATTGCATTTCAAAAACAGTACGAAATAATGAAGCAGCAGAGAACATTGAGCCTGTACAAAGAAGTAAAAGAAACTCCTGGTACTTGTATGACAGAATACTTGGAGAAAGTCTCAGAAAGGGATAGAAGAACCTTAGCAATATTTCGAAGAGGCATATACAAATGGAGAACGAGTAATTGGGAATATAAATGTCCTTATTGTTGGATTGCGGAAGATGACTACCATGTGATGTTAGAGTGAGAAGCATATGAGGGCATAAGAAAAAACTACCTGAGCAAGTATTTTTGGAAATCCCCAAGTAAATATAAGTTGAAGCAAATGTTTGCTAAGGATAATAGTGCACGGATCAGGAACTCACTGGCTAAATGTATACGAGAAATGTTAGAAAAAGAGAAAACTACCCCATTCTGATAGCAAATACAGATCATTCCTGAAGGGAAAAATAAAAATAAAATGAAAAACAAGAAAGAGAAATACATGAACAGAAAATGGGCCAATATGAGTTTTAGGTATAGTCAATAAAAGATGACGTAGAGATGTAAAATTATGATATTATAGCATGTGCTGAATTACCTGAATAAATTGATTGACTGATCGTTCTAAAAAAATGCATATTTTATTCGCAGAATCCTTACATACTCCACTTAAAACTGTGAAAAAATGTTCCACATCTATGCAATAACAATTCAAAGCATGTGACTTTTCGCCCTGGGGCCTATTCCACAGAAGATTTACAAGCTACAAGCTACAAGTTACAAGTGGAGTGGCTGTATTTACAAGTATTTGTATTTTCTGTTCCACAGAGTTTGCGCTAGTGCTTGTAAATTGAAAAGTACAAGGCACTGGAGCCAGTCCATATTACAAGTTCAGAATGCATTCCGGAGCTCTCTATCGAGTAGCACTCGTGGAATGACACATGACACCAATACGTGGTAGAGGTTTCATCAATGAAAGCGTATGGATATCTCATATAACGAGGAGCTGGATATGCAGAATCGAATATGCCATCTCTTGGCCTTAAGGTCAGAGTCTACGTATTCCAGATAGGGTGCATCGAATATCCCCAACAAAGTGGGGAAGCTGTTCGAGTCCATTGGTAGTACAACAGACAGAGTCCACACTTACATTCAAGGTTAATTCTATCATAGAGGGCGCCAAGAAAAGTTGTTATGATCATTCTTTAGCTGGCAATACTTGTAGTCAGGTATTTCATATCCTGCGGCGCTGGATTTTATTCTTTCAAGTTTTTTTGTGACGTAATCACATAAGCCCAACTCTACTGTATTGTACCACATTAGAACTATGCCTATATTGTCCTATGCAATGGTCACAACAGGTAAATCCATCGTCTTCGCTAGACGCAGGAGTGCAGAAAATACATTTACCAAGCATGAAAGTCTTGTAGAAATTAGAGCTACAAGTACAAGTCTACAGACTTGTAAAACGTCCTGTGTAAAACGTGACGTCCTGTACGAATTGGCACGTGTTCCACGTCAATTTAAGTTGACGCCGTGAATATTATATCTCTTCTGATGCTTTGATAAACCGGCTATATTTCCGTTTTTGGGTTAAAAAGGGAATTCACTCCCCATCCGGCCAGATGCCACGAATGACTAGTTTCCCCAGCGAGCGTGGTACGCCCGCTTCGTTTTTCTAACCGCAGACAGCAACGTCAGGTTACATTTTCGTACATAACCGAGACTTGGGGTGGTTCTCACATTTCGGATAAGGAATTCGAGATCGAAGGGTACGACATCTTGCGGAAGGATAGGCTCGGCAGAAAGGGGGGAG